ATCACAATTATGTCAATGGGATTTTTCAAATTAAATTTTAAATAACCCGTCTCTTAAATAATGAATTTGGATAAACACATATTGTACATTTACTCCCTTGGTCGGAATACGTACTTTGGAAGAATTTTGCAATTTGAAAATTTGTGAACTACTTAAAAATAACTAGATAACTATTTTTAGAAGAAACAAAATTGAACTTTGAGGTTTATAATAATTAGATCTCACCCTCTAAAAATTGAACGCTCTCTATTCAATCTTGAGACATTATTTTTTTCAAGTGCATGGAGAGTCCAATTAGGAATTTTTTTATGAAAAAATTTTATGAGGTTAACACCTTAAAATGTAGAATTAAAGTGTACCCCTAAATTTCTTTGAAAAATGTTGTTTTGATGTTGAAAAGACGTCTAATTGATCATCTCAACATAAAGATATACATAATATATGGAGAAAAAAGAAACTTCAATGCTTAAAAACAGTACATCTTGCAACACATTATCTCGATCATCTATTTTCAAGATTTTTATGAGTTTATAGATCCGCTTAATTTGAACCATTTTTAAAGTTTAAACTTTTATAATTAGAAATAAAAATAGATTTTCGAACCATCCTAAGAATTTTTTTTACCAAACTTACCTCTCATGATAAAATTTGGAGGTGCACCTTACTTTGATTGTTCAATGTTGCAACCTTATGGAAACCACACCCATTTTTTATTGAGGTTAGTTTATGGTTGAAGAGGTTACTTCATCAAAAGCTGGGGCCTTAGAGTTAATCATAGATTAGATTTTACCCCAGAGAGTAAATAAACGGTAACATCAATGGTTGCATTATATCTTTTGGACTTTGGATAAATTTCCCTTCTTTTTAAAACAGGAACCTTTTTGTACTCGGTGTGGATGGCATAAAGTTGCAACTTTGACAATCAAAATAAGGCGTACCTCCAAATTTTATCTTAAGATGTAAATTTGGTGTAAACAATTTTTAGAATGGTCTACGAATCCATTTTCAGCTCTATCTATAAAATTTTGAACTCCAATTAGATCTATAAACACATAGAAATCTTAAAAATAGACACTCTAGATAATATATGGCAATATGCACTATATTTGGGACTTAGAAAAACAAATTTATATATATACATAGATCTCGATGTTGAGATGGTTATACTAAAGAGTTCTCCAACATCCAAACAACATTTTCCCATGAATTTTTGAGGTGCACATTAATTTATATTTTAAGGTTACAACCATATAAGGATGGTATACTATGATACCATTTTTTAGTACAAGAAGATCACAATTATTTTTAGCTATTGAATGTAAAATCTAATCGATGAAAATGTGTTTCAACATTTAAGAAATGTTATTTTAGACTTTATGCTCAGACAATGATAAGTTATTAAGTCTTCAACTACCTGTTTTCAAATCTAACGGTCAATAATAATTGTGGCCTTGTCAAAAAGTGAATGGTCTCATTGTATACTATCCCCCTTATATACAATTAGAAAAATAATAGTCGCCATGTCAAAAGGTGAATGGTCTCATTCTATACGATCCCCTTTATATACAATTAGGGAAAATTTTTCTTTACCCCATAATTTTGAAACCCAATGTTTCAAAACTTTTTTTGCAATACAGAGTACTAATCTTTTGTATCTTGACCCAAATAACCCCTTTTGTCCACATATAATTGACACAAATAAAATATAAAATGACCCCTATTTTTTCTTATTTCAAGATGAAATGTATCGTGACCGATTTTTTACTAGACCCAAAATTTCAAAACGTATTTTCCAATATAGATTTCTAATCTTTTGTATCTTCCCATCCCGATCCAAATAACTGACAGTATATAATTGAAACAAACAAAATATGAAATGACCTCTCTCCTGTCTTTTCAAGATGGAGCATACCGTCTCTCTCTAAAATCCACCCAACATCTCTCTCCTCTCTCTAAAATCCACTAAAGCATACCGTTTCTCTCTAAAACCCGCTGGAGCATACAGCTCTCTCTAAAACTCGCACATCTCTCTCTAAAACTCGCACATCTCTCTCCTCTCTCTCTCTCTAAAACCCACTGGAGCATACCGTCTCTCTCTAAAACCCACATCTCTTTCTCTAAAACCCACGCAGCTCTCAAGCCCCCAACTCTCTGTAACGTCTCTCTCTAAATAGTGAAAGCAACAAATATTCGTTGAACACCTCTCTCTTGTCCCTTTGGTCACATATGAGATCGATTTGCAGGATTGGGAAATCCTCGATGAAGAGGATGGCTCCTTCCAATCCAAGGAACTCTCTCAATAGCTCAATTTTAATCATGGTGGCTACCTCAATGTCAACTACTTTGTCTGCCCCATTCACTTGCCCCGACTCTGTCTGATTAGAGAAGAAAAACCATCACAACCTCCGCTAGATTTTGCAGAAAAGGAAAACCCAATTGTCAGTTCTGTAGCGGAGAAAGACCCCCCACTTGATTTAGCAGAATTGATAGCACAGAAGTTCCAGTTCCCTTGTAATTTCCCTTGAAAACCTTAACAGGGAGGGATCAGACCCAATTTCTCAGGTGTTCCTCAAGAAAATGGAGGAACCGAAATTTGTCGACACAACAAACATGGATAGGCATCGCTCAATTCAATCGATTGTAGAGGCAAATCAGCGGAAAGCATGGATTTAAAGAGAGAGGGGAAGATAATTGGAAAGTCATGATTAGCTGATTGCCCCCTTCAGAAATACAATAAATTTATAATTTGTTAATCACTAAAGTCATGACTTTTCAAAGAGGAAGAGAATTGGATTCTACTCGAACTCTGAGAGATTGGCAGTGTTAGAAGGCCTATAGAGGGTGAATGCTTTGGCCCTGTTGAATTTTTTTTTTTTTTACAGAGAGAAATGTTGAAGAGCGCTGTGTCGGTTTTAGAGAGAGATATGTTGGGCGGGTTTTAGAGAGAGAGAGACAGGTTGTTGCTTTATCTTTTGAGAGAGAAAGAAGAGCATTTCAAATCCCGTTTGAGTAAATTATATACGGTCAAAGGAGGATATTTGGGTTTGCAGGGAAGATACAAAAGATCGGTTTTTGAAACATTTGAGTCTACGGGAAAAGTTTATATAAGTTTTGCAATCTAATAATATAGAACTACGAATACACTTAAAAAATCCATCGAAAAAAGTAGTTTTAATATTGAAAAACATTTTGATTGATCATCTCGATATCAAGATGTATGACTATGAAAAATAAAAAGATTTTAAGTTTTAAAAATAGTATATTTTATAATATATTATCTACACCGATTTTTTTTAAGATTTTCATAGATCTACTTGATTTTAACTATTTTTTAAATTTAAAATTTTATATTTAAATATAAAAATAAATTGTAAAATAATCCTAAAAAGATTTTACATCAAAATTATATGCTATAATAAAAATTTGAAGTGCTCCTTGCCTCTACAGCTATGGATGCATCCGTATGCTAATTGCACCCACTGAAAAATGGGTTAAAAAAAATTAGGGTGTTGAGAAAAAGTTTCCTAACCATTTCCTTTTGTACGGTTAGTAATACTTATCCGGTGTGGTGACATGGAACTGGACTTTAGTTGCTGCCGAGTGAATTAAGCGACGGGTCGCTAGCGTGTAAACATCGAAACTAACCAAACGGGTGTTCCACCCTCTCTTTTAAAAGTTTCTCTCTTTAAATTTTATAGTTTGTAAAGAGGTTTTTTTTTTTTGTATAGAGCCTAGGTTCTAAACAATCAAAAATTAGAACCTACCTTAAGGCTGTTTTGATGTCTAAATATCTTTAAGATGCGCAAATATCTTTAAATTGATACCTCAAGTTTCGAAAAAAGTGCATCTCATAATTGTATCTTGTAATGCAATTGTAGCCTATCAATTTTCAAAATTTTCCATTTTTTATAAAACGACCCAATTTTTATTATTTTTTAAATTATATAATTAAAAATAAAAATATAATTTAAATCTATCACAAAACTTTCTAATATTAAAACCATTTGAGGGTAATTTGATTTAGAGCCTCGGCTCCATACAAACCGCGCGCCCATTAAAAAACGAGAGCGCGTTTTTGTCTCTCTCCTGAGAGAAAACTCTTACTCCTTTCTTTCTAATGAAAAAAAAAACAGCCTTTACTCTCTCACGAAGAAAACCATTTCTCGTTTCCATTCGCTCCCTTTCTCTCTCTAGAGTCAAATCTTTGGGAATCTGAGAAGTTTCCTCCTGTGAATCCTTGTATTCTCGTCCTCTTCTCCTTGTAATTGCTTTCCTTCAAGTTTTTTCTGTTATCAAAGCCTTAGATCAGAAGATTTGCTCCCATGGCTCGTCGTTATGATAGCAACCCGTTCGATGAAGAAGACGTGAATCCTTTTGCTGTGAGTTCGATTTGGATGAATCTTTCCCTTTTTTCATCATTAATTTCCTGTGATTTCAAGCTTAGAATATCGTTTTTTGGTGTCGGACAATTGAGTTTATATTTATACTGTAGATTGAGAATTAGGGTGCTAACTATTTTTCATTTTTAATGGAAGTTTCAGTGGATAATTTGTCCATTATTCTTGTTTGGCCTTCGCTTTGCATTGATAGACACTTTTTTTTACTGTTTACAGTACTTTAAAATGCACATTTGTACTAGTTTTTGCATTATTCTTATAGGCATTTCTAGATCTGATGTATCTCGATTAATTTTTATTGTTTAGTTTTAGCAATTAAACACCAGTAATGTTCATACCTCAGATCTGATAGTTTAATTGTTTGGAATTTTCGTTTTTCTGTAGTTAAAGCCAGTGATCTTTTATACCTCTTCTTTTCTCACAGTTTTTCTTTTTCTGTTCTTTGTCAACTTTCACTTTTATCATTCAGATAAGCATGTAATGTGGTTTCATTATGGTTCCGAGTTTATTACATATTTGTAGGTGTTATTGTTTTTTATTCGTTGAAAACACCCAGATAATACATCCGTGAAAGGTATTCCTTGGAAATCTGGCATTATAAAGTGGAATTTAAAGACAGGGTTTGGGCTCACATACTGGTTCAGCGCCACCGTTAGGTTCTTGTCTTGTTGCTTCTGCTTGATTCATCAATTACTATCAAACTATGGGTTTTGAATGTTATTGATGGACTCAATATGCTTTGAGTTGCAACTATCATGACCAAGATGCTCCATTTCATGCCTTTATCATATTTTAAATGACTATCTAGTTCAGTGTGTATTACTAGCTTAAGTTTACATGTCTCTTTCTGCCTGCTCTTTCTCAGTCCTATGTCCCTATTTATCTCCCTGTCTCTTTTTTTCTCTCTTGGATCTTATTTTTCTCTGTTGCTATTATTTTAAATATTTTATATTTCATTTGGAAAAGCTCCCGGCATATTAGGAGTTAGATGCTATTAGCGATCGATGGATGTTGGTCTGCCGACACCCAATCACTTTCCACAGCAGTGACAAAAGCCACCAATAAATGGCAATTCACATTTGAGCTGAAAAGGGGTCCCGACCTGTTTGTTTCTAAACTACATGGAATTCAATTGTGTCCTGCTGCCAACCAATTGCCATCCTTGACCAATACATATACCAAACAAAGCATTAGAATTTTCTTAATTTGTTCCACGTTGTTGTCTATTCAAGTTAGTATTGATAATCCATTCATCTATGTAAGTTTATACCATTCCGTTGAGTTGCTGACTTACTTGCTCAAGTCAATTCGGTTCGGGGGCTCAATGTTTCGAGTTGAAGTCTAGAATGGATGAGTCATGAATTGAATTGAGCCATTAGCTATGCATAATGCTTCCTGCTGTATCTCATGAGACATGAATGAATTGGTTATGTTGGATGATAATATCTTGGACTCGGAGTCGTCACTACTGTATAAAAAATAAAAAATAAAAGGAGAGATCTTGGACTTGGAGGAGGATTAGCTTTGATGACATTCCCCGTAGGTGCTGGGTATGTTAGTGGCTTCTTGTTGCCAATTCTCTTGGCCAAGGTTTTGCACGAGCTGAGTAACTCGGCAGTATACAGGGCAGAAAAAGCCCTAAAAAAATGAAAGACTTGTTAGAATAACATAAACAAGTAAAAATCAAACTAAATTAAAAAATATTAGAAGTCCAAATAAAAATGGAAAATACATATAAAAGATGGATTTAGAAAAATTGATTTACAGTGGGAGACATTTCAGAAAAATCTAAAAAAGGAAGACAGCGTAAAATAGGCATATGATGGGAAAGACTTACAAATCATCAAAAATAAATAAAATTACATATGAAATATTTATACAATGATTTTAGAATTTAAAATATTTTTTGTATATATTTTTTTTAAATATCCTTGAGTTTAACCCAAGTACTTGGCTGGGCAAGGGGCAGAGTCCAAGTAATTCAGAGGACTTGGCTGAGTCCCTAAACACTTGTTTGGGTAGGTGACATGGTTTAAATGTAGTCATGTAGAGAAGCAGCTATTGCGTAAGTTGTGTTACTGTGTTGTTCCCACATTATAATTGGTGTATTCGGCATTACAGTCCAGATTCTGGAGGAGAGGAAGTGGGAGTGTCATGCGAAGCTTTAACAAAATGGGAGTGGAATGTCACTTTAGGAGAAGGCTTTGGCTTTACATTTTAGATGCTGAGTTGTAGTCATGTACTCGTGTACATATGTTGAGGCATTGAGCTCAATGGGATTGCCTAGATGGTGATAGATCCTATTATGGAGTAGGCAACTAAATCTTGGGTGTTTGAGTTATTTGTGAAAGCAATGAGTGGGTTTGACATGTTCATCTTTAGAGCGTCCAAGGGTACAAGGCCAATTATGCACATTATATATTATTGATTTCCCCTCCTGTCCTGCTCATGGGCTGTGAAACTTGTCCCATTCTCTCTAGAAGTTTGGCAGGGAGTCCTTGTAAAGCAATTTGGTTTGTGTGTATGAGGAGTATTCAGGATTTGAGAAATTATTGCCAGTAGCCACCTAGTTTCAGATGTTTGTTCAAATCTAATACATCTGAAAATGTTCTATTTTTAATGGTGATTCATATACGTTTTTAGAAATTCATGGTGATACGCATAACGTACAGAGAACTCTAGGAAACTGTTTGAGGGAAAGCTTCCACTAGCATTCTCTCTCCACTCATATATTAAGTCCTTATGTGTGAGTATTTAAGTTACATTGCGATAATGGGGCCACTAAGGTTATTTGCATTTAGGATTTGAAGGGCCATTAGATCCATCTCTTGTATCTTGCATTCCTTGTGAGTTATCATGTCTGTGATCGGGCTGAGCTCATGGTTTCTTTGGTCTTGTGAGGTCATCATCTATAATTTCTATCCATCACCTGTATTGCAAGGCTCTACATTGGGCTTTTTCTTGGAAGACCTTGTGAAGATTAATTGATGTTGCTAAAATTGATTCTTGAGACAAACTTGATGTAGTTGAATATGTTCTAGGTGGAAATTTTGTGATATTCAAGGATTTCTTCTTGAAAGGTCAGTGATGAAATATTGTATCTTAGTAGAAAGAATCCTATTTTTTCTGTATTTCAGTATCTTTAATGGGTGCTTGCTACATTTTTGATATGCATTATATTTTATATTTGCGCTTATTGATGAAACTTGTATTCCAGTTTTGATTTCACTTGGGTATCTGTAGATTTTGTTTTTTCACCTACTAGAACGTGCTATAGTGTCTTGGTATATTTTTCCATGTCAGGATCCAACACTTCGGAACAAGGCATCAGGACAATCAAATTATGGTGGAGGGCCATTTTATACAACTGTAAGTCTATTTATCATGCGTGGTCAAATATTGAATGGGCGCTAGCGGTATCTCCTTTGGAACTTTGAAGAATTTAAACATGCTAGAAGACTATCTTTTTGGTTTTCTAAAATTCTTATGATAAGTTCATTAATTGAAGCAGGGTACCATTAGTTCCACCACCTATTTTACGTCCCTACATGTACTAGCATAGAGTATGCTAATACTTTCTACAATTTAAATTTTAAATAGCCACATGGTTGGCCTTCACATGTAGCTATCATTTTTCCGCATTATTGGGGGCATTATTTTAAGAAAATGCATTTCTCGAATCTTTAGGATGCCCATTGTTCTCAAATAGCCACACAATCATCCTCATAAAAAATTCATACCATGATAATGTGGTCTTATATAATTGACAGATCCGGAAATCTGAAATAACTCGTAATTATTCCCTGTCCAGCCAACTCCAGGTTAACCGTGTTATGGTTAATAAAAATAAAAATGATTTCTTGAATTCTTTCCTTTGGTCAGAGGATCCCCTTTCAAAAAAATAATAGCATATTTCTACCTCTCAAATGCCAATCAATTGCCGCTCTGACATCGTGCATGATGAAAAATGTTATTCTTTAATTTCTCCAGATCTTCATTTAATCGGATCAAACATTTCAAGTATGTTTATGACATTGGCACGTGGGTGCTTAGCTAACAGCCTAACGTAGGATGTGATATGAGGAGCAGATGTGGACAGGGGGTCAAGGTTGGTTACGTACGCCTTGAGAAATATATCATACTAGAAAATGTTTGAGAAATGCTTGGGGGTTGTCTGGGAAGCATTAGGAAAGTGGTGATGCACATGGGAAATGGATAGGAAATGCTTTAGAAGCAACGGCAGATGCTTCTGAGCATAAGGAATATTTATAACTTAACTCGCATGATATGTTGACCTTGGTTATAACTTAAACATTCTTCCAAATATATATATATATATATATATATATGGGATAATCTAAAGATCACAACCTTTCACATTACAAAAGTTACTGATAGAATGGGTTGTGAAGTGTGGATTTACTGATAGAAGGGGAAGTAAGTAGAAGAGGGGGATGGAAGGAGAAATGTACAGAGAGAGTAACGGAAGCAGAGAGGAAAGAAGAAGTTTAGAGAGAAGAGAGTATGGAGAAAGTAGAGGAAGTAGAGAGTAAGGAGACGAAGTACATAGAGAAAAGAAATACAGGAAAGGAGTATAGGAAGGAGAAGGAAGATGGAAAGGGAGATGAATAGATTCAAAAGGAAAGAGAGAGAAAATAATGAGAGAGAGAGAGAGAGAAAATAACGAGGGAGAGAAAGAAAAGGACGTTGCAGTGAATAACAGAGAGAGAAGTATTTGGAGGGCTAGAAGAGGCAGAAGCATAAATAATTTGTCTTTTAAGGTCTATGCTATGTTATTTTACTGAAGTTAGTTATAAATTAATTGTAGTCCCCGCCCTATAATATTTTGTAAATACAACTTCAGATTAATTTTTTGTTTTTTTATAAGTAATTCACTAATTAAATTAAACTTACAGTCATAAATTAGAGGTTTCTTTTTTTAATAGAGTTAACTAAATTAGAGGTTTCTTTTTAAGCTCCAAATAGAATTTTCTTTGTTCTGGCTTTAAGTTATTTCGTTTTTATCAAAAGTCACTTGGAACTAATTAAGCACACCCTTAACTATTTGATAAAACATAACGTTTTAGCCTTTTTTTTTATTATTATAACCAAAGACAACTTTAAGAAGTTACATTTATTTTTATTTTTCGAATTATAACTTGCTTTGTAAGTTAAAATAATTGTATTTTATAATGATGTTTTATAATTTTAATTTATTCTTTCTTTTCAACTTATTTGTTCAACATGTTCAGCCATGTTATCTCTATCTTGTTCACGCATTTTCCATTTGTTTAACACATGTTTTATTCAGTGATTAACAACGTTTCAGAAAGTGGCTTGCGCCAGGCCTAGGTGGGCTCCCAAGGACTACTCCCCCTGCCTAGGGTGAAAATGTCCATCAATGAGGGGCATTTAAATCCTTTTCTCCCCAAAATAAGGGGAAAATTGGGGGGGGGGGTTGTTAGATTCTTGAGTGACCTAAACCCCTTTGTTTACCTCTTTGAGTGGAAAAAAATTTGAAAAAAAAAATCAAGTTTTTGCATTTTTATGAGATCAATTGGGTAGTTTAGAGTTTTGAAAAATCAATCCAAACATCGTCCTTTAGGTTTGGATTTTATTTTGTAGATTTTTTAAGCTTATTAGAGGATTTTTGTGAAGTATTTGATATTGGGAAACATCTCAAACATTAAAGATTGAAAATTGAGCAAAAATGCTAGTTAAAAATCTTCATATTGGAGATTTTATTTCAATGTCTTCTTTGGGTTCTTCTAGAAGTAGTGATCCGGGTTGGAATTATGGTTATAACCCAAATGGAAATGACAAAAAATCGTATAAGATGTAATTATTGCGAAAAAGATACTAACGGGATCCAAAAGACTTTGCCAGTATTAGAGGGAATGTTTCCCCTTGTAAAAATATTTTAAAGCTATCAAATAGTAGATTAAGCAATATATGAGTTCGGTAAAACACTAAACAGAACAAAAGGAACCTATTCATTTGGATAAGTCTACTTCTAGTTCTTCTAAAAGTGGTGATCCGGGAAGTATGGTTATAACCTGAATTCAAATGGTAAAAATTGTATAAGGTGTAATTTTTGTGAAAAAGATACCATTGGGGGTATTAATCGATTCAAGAAACGCACTGCCGATATTAAAAGGAATGTTGCTTTTTGTAAAAGGTTCTTGAAACTATTAGGTATGAGACTAGACAATATTTGAATTTGGTAAAACCAAAAAAAAGAAGAAAATGAGCCTTATGATATAGAAATATCTTCTCCAGGTTTTTTTAGCAATGATGATCTGGGTTGGAAGTATGGTTAAAACCTGAATCCGAATAACAAAAATTGTATAAGGTGTAACTATTGTGGAAAGGATACTAATGGGGATCATTGTTTCAAAAAGCGGACCGCCCAACGCCTGGGCGGCGGCTTAGGCAGATTTTCCTGGACGCCCGCTTGAACCCGCCTAGGCAGCCGCCTAGGACCTGTGCTCCCCCAGGGCGGACTGCGGCTCCTTGAGGGTAGTTTTGGGTCTTTTTTTTAATACTAAAGAGGCAAAATTATGGGTTTTAAGTTCTTTTGAAACTTAAAACCCATTAGAGGCTATTTTAGAGAGAAAAAACCAAAAAAAAAAATATTCTACTAAGTCGTCCAAGTTTTGGGCACCCACCTAGGCATTGGGTGGCCTGGACCCCCCCAACTGCCTGAGAGCCACCTAGCGCTTTTTGAAACATTGATGGGGATATTTACCGGTTCAAGAAATACCTTGTCAGTATTAAGAGGAATGTTGCCTCTTACAAAAATGTTGTTGAGGTTACCTGGGAGCAGATTAAGTAACATTTGAGTTCATTTACTTCAGTAAAACACAAAAAGCAAGAAAACGATGCAGAGGCATCAAGTAGAGCGGCCAACACTCTTAGGGCCTCTAGATCATCTGCATAGAGTATGAGGGAGGTACAAGAAGAGGAGGAAGAAGCAAATTCAGAAGAAATAGAGGAGAACCAACGTTATGTTGAAGAGAGATGACTCTGATGATGATGGACTCGACTCTAATGCACCCCACTTTGTTTGATGATGACTGAAGACTCTTGACTCTTGAGTCTTAGACTGTATATTTTTTTTTTTTTCTACTCTTATATGTATGCTTGTATAGCTGTATCATTGTATGGAACTATGGATTATGGAATGGTCTAGACTATGGAGTATGGAGTATTTTCTATGGAGTATGGATTATGGATTGTGCCTATATTACTAATTTACTATTATATTGTATTTTTGGTTGTGCTAGTCGTCTATTACAAATTTGCGATGATTTGGAACTTTGGATTATGGGATTTTTTATATTTTATGATGTATACTCATTCCCTTGCCCCTCTTCCTTCAACCTAACCTGTGTCCTAGGCCGCCCAGAAATCTGGGTGCCCACCTAGCTGGGTGGTCAGGACCCCCATGACCACCTAGGCCCTACAGGTCAGTTTTTGGAATACTGGTGGTTAAAAATTTGTTAGGTCGACCAGATAATTATCCTGAATCAACCTGGATTAGAACCCTTGCGATTGCAGAGGGAGTTGCCCAAAATCAAGCAAGTCTCTGAAGTCTAGGATTTCTATTGGTATTTTATCAGAAAATGGGCCGATTTGGGCCTCAAATTTGGCCAATTCTTTGAGTGCCTTGTGCTTTGTACCTTGGCGAGTCCAAGGATGAGTCGGCATTTCTAACTACTGGTTTTACTTAATTTATTGGATTGTTTCCTTTTTGGAAACACATTTGCGATGTCTCTCAGGTGTCTTTGGTGGCTATGGTTTAGTAGTACGCTAGTTTTGTTGAGGATTCAGGACACAAAGTGGAAGATTTTTTAATGATATTTTAGGGGATATAGGAGTGAAGGAGGTGCTTGAAGGTTGTTTCTTTGTTGTGGTTGATTTACACCCCAAGAAGTGGACAAAAATTTTACTTTGGTCCCTTTGTATTTACTTGTTGTCCCCCAGACTCAATTCATTGAAATAGTACTTGCGTATTGTTGGGGGTTTTTGTATATCAAATTGGTATCTACGTCAGAGCTCTCCACAATCACCTTCTTTGCATTTGCAATTATTTATTTTGAATTTCAGCCTACCATCTCAGTAGACTTCTACGTTGTCCAGCTGATTATGGAAATGTGGATTTTGAAGTTCTAAATGGTATCCTTATTAAGAAGGTTTCTATAGTTGGGTACTTGTGGGATGCAGTTATGGGAAACCTGTGCTCTACATTTTGCAATTTTCACTATCACTTGCACTTGAATAGTTAAGGAGGTTTTTGTTTTTGGAGAAAGTTGTATTTATTTGGAGCTATTTTGTTCTTCCTTGAACATAAGTTGATGTTACCTTTCTGAGAAGGTTTCTGTTCTTTGTCTCGTAGTGTGAGTTGAAACCTGTGCCCTGCTTTTTGCAATTTTCACTATCACTTGCATTTGAATAGTTAAAGAGTTTTTGTTTTTGAAGAAACTTGTATTTATTTGGAGCCATTTTGTTCTTCCATGTACATAAGTTGATGTTACCTTTCTGAGAAGGTCTGTGTACTTTGTCTCAGTACAGTACATAATTCGTCTGAACTGGATTTCATCTTGTGATTTATACGTAGAAGTATTTTACCTTATTGTGAAGGTTGGCCTGCATTCTGTAGCTTGCCTTATAGCATATAAAGCTGCAAATTTTACAACTTGCAATTGAAAAATCAGAATTATGTTGAATAGTTACATCTTTAATTTTCGTTATCTAAATTTATTTTTGTGCTTTGATACATCAATTGAGTTAAATATAACTTATTGTCCCTGGACCTACAGCAATTCACTTTGCTCATGTGTTTTAATATATATTTTTTAGGGAAATTTATCAAACTACCCATAAGAGAAAATCATTTAACATTTTGTCCTTTTACAACTATTCCGTGTCATTTTCATGTGTCTTTTGATCGATATTTTGAAATTAATTCAAAAGACATGTACAGTGATAATAGTGTATATATCATGGTTAGTTTGATACATTTCCCTTTTTTATGAGTATTCCTTTGACTCTTTCATTGTTATAATCTAATGGAGTCCTGAAAATTTCAGCATCCTGGGAGTGTGCCTCCTGCTACAAATTCACGACTTTCACCTCTACCCCCTGAACCAGCAGATTTCAATTATGATAGGGGTGCAACTGTTGATATTCCACTTGATTCAGCAAAGGTGTGATGGAATGCATGGAGAAGATAATATCTTTGTTCTTAATGTGCTTTCTTTCAACTTTTTTTTTTAATAGTTAATCCAAAGATTTTATGTTTTGAATGCTTAGGATTTGAAGAAGAAAGAGAAGGAGTTGCAAGCCAAGGAGGCAGAGTTGAAGAGAAGGGAACAGGTAGCTTGGATGTATACACGTCATTTATGGAAACTATTGTTAAAAACTTAAGAACATACTTAATGATGAAACATCACTTGGATGTGAACTTCTGTTAAGCCCTTTTATCACCTCCAATGCTTGCCTGCCAACAGAACCATAGTGAGCTTCGACATTTTGTTGTGTAAAGATTGCCAACAGACTGCCAAATTTGATAAGAATTGCTTAAACTGGAAACTCCAAGTATCTATGTTATTCAGGGATAAGTCTAGGATTACTGGGGGTAGTGACATGATAGTGATGTTTTGTTAGATTTCTCATGCAATCAGTTGTGTGAGATAAATAACTTCATTGGAGAACCACTTATTATTGTGGTTTTTATAGTGGGTGCAATTATTAGCGTATCATTTTGAGGCGCTTAAATTTGAAGATAAATGCATGCCTCATTAATGAATTTTTTAGTGCCACTTTTTAGTGGAAGGTTATCATGATCCAACTGCTGAATAGCCAAAAAGAGAAAATTCCTTTTTAATTTCATAGTATAATGACTTAAACGATTGAAAGCAGTTACAAACTGCAACCAATGCCAGAATCAAGTTGCCGAATGGTTTACTCTGACAATGGACTGATTTGGTCATGTAATCTGTTGTTTTTGCTAATAAAATCACCAGTAAACTCTCTCTCTCTCTCT